TGCCCAAAGAGACACCGCCGTGCCCAGGGCTGTGGCCTCCCACCAGATAAACCAGCCTGAATTTTCCTATCTGTCACAAATTCTCTGTAACCTCAGTTATTGCCTCCCTCCTTCCTTTGCTCCTCCCTGGGTAATTGCACTTGTGCTGGAGTTAAACCTTCTGTGGGTTGAAGGCAGCCTGGACTAAATAGATTTTACTGTTCTTAGTCTTAGAAACAATCCTGACTTCAGGAAATCTGTCAGGCTGGGAGGGTGGGGAGGAGCTGGAATGCAATTCCCAGAGAAGCCGTGGCTGCCCCTGGATCCCTGGAAATGCCCAAGGCCAGGCTGGATGGGCTTGGAGCAACCTGGGATAATGGAAGGTGTCCCTGTCTGTAAGCACAGGTGAGTTTTAATGTCCCTTTCAACATAAACCACTCTGGAATCCAAGGATTCCAAAAGTGATTTGGGTTACTTCAGCGTTACTCCCTGTTAGTTTCATATTTTAGTCCTATTTCAGCTACAGTAATTTATTTTATTTTTATTTAAACTGAAGTTACTAAGTTATGAAACAAACTGATTAACTGAGTTAAATTCATAGCAAAATACAACTTACATGTGTGCTCATTAATTCTTTTGAGATTAAACCACTAAAAACCATCTAAAGGACACAGAAATTGCATTTAGAGATGGAGGAGGTGACTGAGAAAACAAGGAATGTACCCTGAAATTCCCTTTTTCTCCTGGAAGGCACCTCAGGAGCAAATGTTCTGCTCAGTTCTCACATCAGCAATGACATTTTGGGCCCTGTCACTGCAGCAGGACGGCAGAACCCAACCAGAGCAGAGCCCAGAACGCTGCTGGCTCCTGCAAGAACACATCCAATGTTTCCTCCATAATTGGCTGCTTGGATCAGCAGTAATTATCTGCCCTGTTCCTCTCTTCAGATGGAAACACTTGGATCTTCACAGCTCACCCAACTTACTCAGGAAAAACTCCCTCTCCCTCATCGTCCTTCTTTAATTTACCAAGGCTTTAATTCACCCAGGTTATTCCCAGTCTTTCCAATTAAAGTGTGAATGTTGCAAACCCTCAAAGCAGCAGAAACATGGGAGTGAGCTTTGAAACTGTTTCTCTGCAGGCAAATCCAGGGGGCCTGTTGGGATGACAAACACGCACCAAAACTGCAGTCAATCCATAAATAAATAGAAATGTTATTAGAGAAAGAACCAGCATTTTCTATTCCTGATATTTAACACTCTGCACCTGACATGAAGCCCAGCATAAATTGCTGAGATAAACCAGGATTTCACAATCTTACCTGAAAGATATTCCCAACACACAACAGAACAGAAATCCCCATTCCAGTCCTGCTGCAGAGATGCACAAAAAAGGGAATTCAGATTGAACAACATATCCTCAACATGTTCAAAGAGCACAAAACCACCTCAGTCAGTGGCAATCCCAGCTGGACAAAGGATTTTACAGCACTAATCCCTCCCCTTTCTCTTTTTCTTCTTTTTAATGAAGATTTCCAGGGCCTGCAGCATCATGCACCACTCCTCCCCTTCTCCTGCACTCGAGGCTCACAGAAATTCTGCAAGGACTATTCCAGTTCTGCTCACAGGAGGTTTCATCAGCACTAATCCTTTAAATGAAAGCCATTCCACAGCTGGCACTTCCCATCAGAGCCTTGGGAATTTATGGAATCCTTCTCTGCACCTCACATTTTCCCAGAATCCATTAAAAGTTTGGAGCTCCAGCTAAAGGTTTTTTTTAAGTAATTAGATGAGGATTAGACTCCACGAAATCAGAGATACACAGCAATCTCAGAGACATCTTCTGGCCAATTTTCCCTGAAAATGATCCACTGAAAATGATCTTTGTAGTGAGAAGAGGCCATGCTAAGTGTACAGCTTTCCATCTGCAGAGGAAATTACTTCCCATTTTCATTAAGCCTCCAAAGGGTTTTGGGGATGGTAGTGAAGCAAGGTTATTCCTAGATATCAAGGAGAATATATATTTTTTATTTTACAGACTCAGATTTTCAACAACTCTAAAAAAATAATTTATACTTCAAATTATCAGCCATTCCCTGAAATGAGCCCAGCTCTACAGAAAGGCTGGAAAGATCAGATAAAGTGGAATTTTCAGGGAGCAGCAATCCCAGTGTCCCCCAAAGCTGCCACCACCCCTCACCTGAGCAAGGCAGCATCTTGGGTTCCTCTATTCCCAACAGGAATAAATTCCTCACCTCTCCCTGCAGACATCACATGGAATAAAAATAGAGCATCAGTTAAGCAAAACCCAGGTAATTTTAGCCATCTGAGTTTGTGATGAGCTCTCAGGATTTAAAGCTCTTGCGAGTTTTTAGGTGCCAGGACTTTTAACTCACACAACATAAGACAAAACAGCTTTGAACACAGCTTGGATTAAAAATAGTTCTTTATATAGAAAGCTAAAATGGAAAATACACTGACTGCATGACAGAGGCACGGTTTTCCTGGGAGGGTGAGCCTGGACTGAACATCTCCAGGTTCCTTCCAACCTCAGTGATCTCAGGATTTGTAATACAGAAACACCCAAATACAGAGAATAAACCAGCAGAAATTCAACTCATTTCTGTGGCAGGGCAAGAAACTCCCACTCCCCATTTCCCCAGGTCTCAGCTCCCATCCTGTCACAGACACATTTTATGAAAAATCCTTTCCTTAGGGTTTTTCCTCCTGAGAAGCTGAGAGGCCTCAGGAACAGAATGCAAACAATGGTTATCTGCTGCTGTGGGATGCAACAGCTGCATCTGGGATTGGGCTCATGGGGTTTTTAATTAATGGCCAATCACAGCCCAGCTGTTGCAGACTCTCTGGTCAGTCACAAGATTTTATTATCATTCCTTTCCTATTCCTTTCAAGCCTTCTGATAAAATCCTTTCTTCTATTCTTTTAGTATAGTTTTAATACAATATATATATCATAAAATAATCAATCAGCCTATTGAAATCCTCATCTCTTCCCTCATCCTGGGATCACCCCCACACACCCCAGCCCTCCCCTAGCACAGGTTATCCCATCACCTGCAGGCTGCTGGGATTGTGCCTGTGCTGGGATCAGAGCAGTGCTGCTGGCCCTGCTCGCACTCTGTGAAATAACCACATCTGCACCATGGGCAGGTTTTGATATGTATTTTTATTTCCCTGCAGTTTTCACTTATCAAGAACAAGTAACAGGGAAAGTTGTCTGAACTAGTGCATAAACAAACATTCGGAAACACCACTACACGTATCTAATGTACAAGAACCGTATAAAAAAAGTCACTAAAACACTACACTACCAAGGTGTCCAACGCTTACAGTCAGACTTTTTCCAACCCGTTACTTGCCTTGTAGCCACAGGAAAACTCTCCAAAATTGAAAAGACAATCTTGCCACAACCCTCCCTCCCCCCCCCACCACCTGGGATGGCTCGATAGCTAGACATCCAATAATGAATTATTGCAATGATATAGAATGCAATACATACCTGGTAAAATATCCTTTAATGTGGTGTGGTACAGTTTGAAAGCCGGTTAAAATACGCAGTCTTCGGATAAAATGGCATCAAGGTGAAAATTTTCTCAGATCTGCACATTTGGACATGTGCCAGATGCATAATTTTCCTAGTCAGTTTTTTTTTTTTTCTCCTCTCCTGTGTAATTATTTTTTATAAACTGGTATTATAAATAGAAATATACATTCAAAATATATGGAAAAGTGAGTTACTACATTAAATTTGCATGTATCGATCCATCCCTTTCCCCTGCACAGTAATAGAAAATACTATTTTGCCTTGAACTTCATATTTGACAGTGAAATGCCACTAAAGTATTTACCAAAAAGTCCATCTAGTCAAATTGTGAAACAAAATGAACCAAGTGAAAACTTTACATTTCCTTTAGAAAAAAATTACAAGAATTTTTGTTTCCTAGCTATGAATCTTTAACTTTTTTTTTAGACACAAAGTTGCATTTATTTGTACAAGATACAAAATGTAAACATGGCAAAATAAATAGTTTAAACAAGTGATGCAGGATCCCATGTCATGCTCATGATCCCATTAAAGAATTATTTTTTTAATCCATTCAGTTGCAAATTCAAGTGCAAAAGCATGATGATGAATATCTACTATTCAAGTAACAGAAATAATATTGATGATACAAATAAACTATTTTACAAGGTAGTGATTTTCCCAATTTTTACAAAATTTACATTATATATCGACTTAATACACGATAGAACGGGAGTCCATGGGGTGTGGGTGATTCTGTGACCCACAGAGGGCTGTGGCTGCACTCAGGGACAGCTGGGGGGTTATGTCACCTCCATGGCCACTGTGGTCTCTGCCAGCCCGTTCAGGCCCAGGCGCTCCGGCTCGTGGTTCTCTCTGCAAGGAAGGAGCAGCCACAGTCAGAGCACGGCTCACACTCTGTACTCACTGATTGTGTATTTTACACACT